GTCACTATGCATTGAGGATTAACTTCCCCAATCACTTTTTGCAGTAGCTTGAGGTCTTCATTATCAGGTATGTCAGGCATGAAGTAGACTGAGCAGTCTTCTGTATCGTAATAAGTAATTGCAAGCTGCCCTGCATACCACATAACAGACATGTATGTCTCAGAGCACTCTTGGTCCTCGTGTGCGGGCCCGAGCGCCGGTGGCACGGGGCAACTCGTGGCTGAAGTGGCACTCATTCTGTTGGAGGAAGATATTTTTGTTCACAACTCCTCCAAAAAGTTCTGAGATGTAACTGTAATTGACAACAGCAACAGGTTAATACTCTTCTGACCCTGGAGAAACTAAGATGAGCTCCTCCAAAAAGTTCTGAGATGTAACTGTAATTGACAACAGCAACAGGTTAATACTCTTCTCTTAATACTCTGACCCTGGAGAAACTAAGATACTACCAGGAATTAAAGATACGTGTTACCTATTCCATTGAAAAGATGCAGCCAGTAACTACAGCCGCCATCTTGCTTCCAAGCAAGGTGTAACTGAGCTAACAACCAGCAATATCAGAATAGTTTTACAGTTTTTGTGTCCTTTATTTTAGTAATTACATCTGTATGCCCAAATGCCCATAAATACAGTAATGTGCACGGACGTGCATATAGACATATAAAATCATCCTCCCCTCAGACGTACGGGACACCCATGGATGCTGACCACAGCTCCTCACAACATGGCAACCACAGAAGCTGGTTTTGGGGTCCTACCCCAGTATTTATGCAGCAGTGTCACACAGTATTAGTTTCTATACCAGTACAGCAGTACTGCTGCAGGGATCAACCATACCAAATGGTTTATCCTACAGAGTCCACGGTCCCCATCAGCAGTCTGCTTCCAACCCTCTCCCGCTTCTTCCCCCTCTGCTCACCTTCCTCACCACAGACAGGCAACTTGTCTTGACTGCTGCTTCTCCTTCCAGCCCAAAAGTTATATCTTGACCAATTTTCCCTCCCTCTCTGGGCTGCTGCTTGGTGCTCCCTGCTCTTAGGCCTCCCCGCCACCGCCGACTCCTGTCAGGATGGCGCTGCTCTATGTCAGGCCACGGCCGCCATCTTGCCGTTGCACCCCTGCCATTAACCGCTGCTCACCACATGGTGCATAAAGTACTGCTGCAGGGATCAACCATACCAAACAGTTTATCCTACAGAGTTCACGGTCCCTATCAACAGCCTGCTTCCAACCCTCTCCTGCTTCTTCCCCCTCTGCTTACCTTCCTCACCACAGACGGGCAGCTTGTCTTGACTGATGCCTCTCCTTCCAGCCCAAAAGTTATATCTTGACCAATTTTCCCTCCCTCTCTGGGCTGCTGCTTGGTGCTCCCTGCTCTTAGGCCTCCCCGCCACTGCCGGCTCCTGTCAGGATGGCGCTGCTCTATGTCAGGCCACGGCCGCCATCTTGCCGTTGCACCCCTGCCATTAACCGCTGCTCACCACATAATGCTGGGGGCCCACCACAGCGCTCTCCTGGCAAGAAACGGACCCTTAACCTTCCTTTTGGCCTCCTGGTTGAATGGGGGTACCCCTCTCCTCAAGGGTCGAGCTCTTCCTACCAGCCCCTGCCCTGTCCCTGGCCTCCTGGGAGCCCTGCTCTGAGGATGGAAGAAGCCCTTCCCGCTGCCCGGCTCCCCACTGCTTGCCTCTTTTCACTGTGGAGTTCACTTAACGAGCTTCTTGGAGGAACTGTAAATGAATCTTCATATGCAGCCCCTGCCTCTGGAGAGCTGGGAGACGGGCATTTTGGCTGCGGGGTCTGGTACACGGCACCCGAAGCTGCTTGTGGGAGGGTGTCAGGCACCTCGCTTTGCCGCCATGTTAAAGCCTATCCTTGAGCCTTTCTCCCACTGGTCCCACAAAGGAGGCATATACAGCAAGTTAACAGCCATGACAGGGCTGTCTTCTTGGTTCCCTGCTGGACTTGGAGGAGCTCCATGTGCAGCATCCTTCCAGGTGGGGTCCCTTGACAGGTATCCATTCCTGCCATGTCCCTTGACGGGTATCCATTCCTTACGGTGCTTCCCCAAGAGGGGCTTGTCTTCTTCTTCCCCTTCCAGCACCAAATGCTTCAGAACAGCCTCTCAGGTACTCTGCTTTTCACCCTCCCCCAGTTATAGAATATCTTTATAATCGGCATCCTTCCAGGTGGGGTCCCTTGACAGGTATCCATTCCTGCCATGTCCCTTGACGGGTATCCATTCCTTACGGTGCTTCCCCAAGAGGGGCTTGTCTTCTTCTTCCCCTTCCAGCACCAAATGCTTCAGAACAGCCTCTCAGGTACTCTGCTTTTCACCCTCCCCCAGTTATAGAATATCTTTATAATCGGCATCTCTAACTTTGCCATGTGGGAACAACTCTTTCATCTCCACTATCCAGGCCCTTTCAATTAAGAAATGAACCATGACTTTCCCATGCACCTGTGTTGTTTCATCCTTTCACGTCTAATTGCAACCGTTGCAAACAGTGCTCCAGAAATAGCTCCACGTTATTAAAAATATCATAGAGTTGCTTTTCCAGATATCTTTCAGTAGTGCATCACAAGCATAACTCAGTCCCTGAGCATTCAGCCTTTGATTCACACCTTACCAATCTGTTTTTGACAAGCAACATCCCATTCTCTTGTAAGTGCTATTTTTTTATAGGAGCGTGAAATAGCGATTTTGATTTTTTCCTCATTTTGTTCCATGAGTGTTCAAGGCTTCACATTTTGACAGGTGTTCTCCTGGCTGAAAAGGTCTTTTTTTTATTCCTGATTGATGTCTAAATGTATTTCAAAGAACTGTCAGCCAAAAAGCAAAGAGTGATGATTTAATTTCAAAATAACCTTAGTACATAAGGACTAATCTAGCCATGGAATATCAAATTTTAAATAATGACAGTGAGGCTGGAATATGTGCGGACTGCCAAGGAGGTCGTGTTCCCGAAATGAAAAGCATCCACCACTAGATGTCATCGTTTCAGAGATTAAGGAAATTGAAAAACGATTTTGACCTTCACTAAATTAGATTTTAGGGGACTGAAAGTCAGGCTGAGGGAGTTGAGAGTGGTTTCAGAGATTAAGGAAATTGAAAAACGATTTTGACCTTCACTAAATTAGATTTTAGGGGACTGAAAGTCAGGCTGAGAGAGTTGGGAGTGTTTATCTTGGAGAAGAGAAGGCTCTGGGGAGACCTTAGAACCCCTTCCAGTCCCTAAAGGGGCTCCAGTAAAACTGGGAAGGGACTCTTGATCAGGGAGTGGAGCCATAGGACGAGGGGGAAGGGTTTTAAACTGAAAGAGGGGATATTTAGGTTAGAAATTAGGAAGAAATTCTTTGCTGTGAGGGTGGTGAGACCCTGGCCCAGGTTGCCCAGAGAAGCTGTGACTGCCCCATCCTTGAAGGGGTTCAAGGCCAGGCTGGATGGAGCTTGGAGCAACCTGGTCTGGTGGGAGGTGTCCCTGCCCAGGGCAGGGGGTTGGAACTGGATGATCTGTAACGTCCCTTCCAATGCGAACTATTCTGAAATTCTACAAAATGATGATCTTTAAGGTCCCTTCCAATGCAAACTGTTCTGAAATTCTACAAAACGTGCATGTGCTTGTGAGCCTGGGGAGAGTCATGTCACTAGTGACCTTCTGTCTCTGCCAGGGGCTGTCTCCACTCATGCCTCATGTCAACCCCGTATCTGTGTGCTGTTCAAGGCCATGGCAGTGGCAGCCTCTGTAGCCGGCCATGTCCATGTCCTCTGAGCATGTGTGTGTATCTCCAGGGGGTGAAATATGAATTCCTTAAAAGCAGTGGGTATATCCATCAGAGACCCTGGGTCCCCAGGGAGGCCCTGGGTTGGGCTCCAGCGGCTGGGCAGTAGGGAGGCCTGGGCTGGAGCTGCTGGAGCTGACAGTGGTCACTCCTAAAATCCCTTAGCATATAGTAACAATTTTTAAAAAAGCAAACAGCATTTTTTTGAGGTGAATTGAGGAAGAAAATACTGAATTTCTACAAAGATAGCTATTTATTGAAAATACAATGGAATGAAGAACTCTATACTCTTAAAATAACTACTGAAATGAGGTTTTCTAAAAACAGCCACATAGGATATTTATTAAGTTCCGCTTCATGTATGCTAAATTACATAATGATAGTGATATTGTATGTAAGTTTTTAGATTTGCTGAGATCTAAAGAGCGGCTGGGCAGTAGGGAGGCCTGGGCTGGAGCTGCTGGAGCTGACAGTGGTCACTCCTAAAATCCCTTAGCATATAGTAACAATTTTTAAAAAAGCAAACAGCATTTTTTTGAGGTGAATTGAGGAAGAAAATACTGAATTTCTACAAAGATAGCTATTTATTGAAAATACAATGGAATGAAGAACTCTATGCCCTTAAAATAACTACTGAAATGAGGTTTTCTAAAAACAGCCACATAGGATATTTATTAAGTTCCGCTTCATGTATGCTAAATTACATAATGATAGTGATATTGTATGTAAGTTTTTAGATTTGCTGAGATCTAAAGACTAGTACATGTTAAATACAACCACATTTTCCTGTTCAGTGATTTTAAAGACCCAGAAAACTGCCCTTGACAAACATTTGAGATTCTTCCTTGCAGTAGCACGACTAGCAGTGACAACAAGAATAATTTCCAGTTATATCTTCCATGAAGACTGTGGCAAATCATTTGAAGTTAAAACATTTGTAACATTGTGTATGTCCATTTGATTCTGGCAAGACTGAAGAGGGAGGTGTAGAAAGGAGATGTAATGACACTTTTATTTCCTTTTTTAAGTTCTCTAGCAGACAGTGCTTGAATAAAGCGGAAGATTTGGCACATGATTGTTCCAGTCTTCTTTTTGCATCTTGAAGTTGTTTTACATCCTAACTGTATCTCTGGTTAAAATTAAAACCCTAGGAATTAAATAGGAAAATTCATCCTTCTAGTAGAATGCCTAATTGAATTTTATGTTGCTATTTAAAGGTGAAAAAAATTGACTCGAGCCTGTATGAAGACTTTAAAAGCCATTATTTTGGAGTTGAAATCCTGCACCGCCTAGATCTTTGCTCCATGTTGAAAAAAAAGCAACCAAATGGTTACTACTTCTGTGAGTCTTCTATTGTTTTTGGTGAGTACATCTTCATTTTCCTCTTATCTCCGTTTTGTCTATAAGGTACATGTGTGAAACACCATTTTTTCTGAAGTTTATCTTAGATGATTCTTGTAATAATATTGGTGGAGTCTGACAGAAGCCTGTCCTTCAGTCCTGGCTCTCCAGGAACACGGTGCGGTCCTTCTTGCTGACAGCTGAAGTTTAGGTTCAGCTGTCCATCCCCAGAATCCAGTTCCATTTCTCACCCTAAACTGAGTGTTTAAGAGTGAGCTGTATCGCTCTCCAGAACTGATCATCTCTCTGTTGACGATAAAGACAGCCTGTGTGATTGAGTTAGATTAGATGTGGTAATTATACATGATTAAAGCTGAGTGAAATGGCTCTGGTTTGGCAGAGATGTGACCTCACTTGGACTATATTCATATACAGAGAGAATTTCAGTGGTACAACAGATTTCATGATAACTATTCAGAACTCCATCAAGACTTTAAACATTGACTTTAAACAGACACCTTGCCTATGCCATTACAATGCTAGAAATCAGTTGTGTCCTCGTGCTTTGTCTAAACAGAACTTCACATCCCTGTGATCCTAGGCTTGTCTTCCTGGTTCTGCCACAAATTTTTTGTAGCTGGAACTTCAGGTGATAAACGTGGAACGTCTATAGACTGAGAGACTATGGGATAATGGTTTGTACAATAACACTCTCTGTGATGGTCAGTTCCCAGTAGCTGATAGTAGATCTTGGGGCTACTATTAGTCAAGTTAAGAAGGCCAATGGCATCCTGGAGTGCATCATGAAGAGCGTGGCCAGCAGGTGGAGAGAGGTCATCCTCCCCCTCTGCTCTGCCCTGGGGAGGCCCCATCTGAAGCACTGGGTCCAGTTCTGGGCTCCCCAGTTCAAGAAGGACAGGGAACTGCTGGAGAGGGTACAGCAGAGGGCTACAAAGATGATGAGGGGCCTGGAGCATCTCTCTTCCGAGGAAAGGCTGAGGGACTTGGGTCTTTTTAGCCTGGAGAAGAGAAGGCTGAGGGGGGATCTGATCAACACCTATAAATCCTGAAAGGGTGGGTGTCAGGAGGATGGGGCCAGTCTCTTTTCAGTGGTGCCCAGGGACAGGACAAGAGGGAATGGGCACAAACTGGAACATAAGAAGTTCCATCTAAAGATGAGGAGGAACTTCTTTGCTGTGAGGGTGGCAGAGCCCTGGAAGAGGCTGCCCAGAGAGGTGGTGGGGTCTCCTTCTCTGGAGACATTCCAACCCCACCTGGGCACGTTCCTGTGCAAGCTGCTCTGGTTGGACCTGCTCTGGCAGGGAGGGTTGGACTGGATGATCTCCAGAGGTCCCTTCCAACTCCATATCATTCTGTGATTATGTGAAGGACATGAATTAAAACACTCTAAGTGGCATAATTAGAGAACGTTGAGGATTTTTTCTTCAGTGCAGTCACCCCTTTAAATCTAGGAATGTATTGCATGAGGTGTTGGGAATATCTTTAAAAATACCATTCCTGCACCTACAGATCTTTAAGAAACAGATAATATGGGAAGATGGTCAAGTAGTAATAATGCAAAATACAAAGTTTTTTATATTAATTGCTTTTTTCACCTGTCCTAATTTGGCTGATTCTTTATATATGGCATGTTAGAGGTGAGTGTCAAAAGTGTTTGTAGCAGGTCATGTTGTTTGGAAGTCAGTTTATGCTTGTTTTTCTTTGTACTGGTACAGCTTGGGGTTTATGGGTTTGGGATTATTTATTTTTTTTGCTGTAGACATGTCAAAGATTGAATGTAGTGGTGTTTGAAGACATGGGACGCTGAAATTTGTACTAAAAGTTCATGTGAAGACTTAACTTCATCTTTTTTCTTCAGAAATAGAAATATAGCAATAGAGCAAAATTCTATTTGGCGTGATGTCAATGAGCAATAGCTCCATCTCAATGAGAATATGGACTGTCTTGGTAAATCTTAATAAATCAAAACTTTAACTTTGATCTACTTAAGGGAAAGAGAATATCTGTTCTTGTACGAATCCTCTAATAATAGGAAAGAAATATGAAAAATCTTTTACAAGGAGCCTCAACAAGAAAATGCTGACTTAAAGACTATGATGAATTTGTTCTCGTATACCTTGCAACATTTTCCAGATTTCTGGTAATGAGCAGAAGTATTTTTTTTTAAAAAAGTGAGTAGAAATCATTCCAACAAGTAAATTATTCAGTGGATCTGACATTTCCCACTCCAAAGCCTTAGTAATGGAGATATTCATAACCAAGGAATGATCATATTCTCAGAAAGAACGAGCAAAACATGAAACATCAGGGCAATCTTCCAAGACTATTGCCATCCCAACTGTGTGAACAGAAGCATCTTCACTGGAATCTTTTCTCGTGTGGACACTTTTAAAGGAAATCCCTGTCTTCATCCTTAAGTAATAAGGAATCTCAAAAAGGTGAAACTTCTGTTTGTTGTGAAAATACATCCTTATGGACTACGAAATCTTGAAAAGATGAAAACTTAAGTTTGTTGTGAAGTTACCTTGTTAAGGACTAAGAAATCTCAAGAAGATGAAGATTTTATGAAGGTACCATGTCCATCCCCAGTTTCTGCAAAACTTTTATAGAGATATAATGAGCATAAAATAAAAGGAAAACTTCTGATCCAGGCACCTCTTCTAGTTCAGCTGATTTTGATGGAAAGGTCCAACGTTCAAAGACTTGACTTGAATTGACAGAATTGACAGAAATAGCTGTGAATGATGCATTATACTCAATTTTTTCTAAGCATATACTGTTTTTTTCATCATCCTAAAAACTATACCTGGTTAATAGGCAGGTTATACCTGGTTATACCTGGGGCCTCATCTGCTGTTTTTCAGCTCCTTTTCAAGGTCTGCATTGTTTCATCCTTAATGCTATAAAACCAACGCTATGTTGGAGACAAAGAGTGTTCATGACCAGTTAGTTCTACTTCTAAATCCCTGCTGTTTGGACTAGTTTTGCATAAATCCTGCTATTGAAGTTAGTGCTGGTTCCAGGACTCTGTAGGGCTTTGGTGACAACTTGGTTTCTGCCTTGTGGTAACTTGATATCACTGGTGGAAGCGCTCAGTGGTCTTGAGGACTGTTTTGAGAGTTTAAGATTAAATGCTTCTACAATACTTTAAAAATGCCAGGCACTTTGCAAATGCTAATGGCTGTTAAATGTATTTTTTTGTAGTTAGGGCCACCTTTATTAGCCTGGAGAAGAGAAGGCTTTGGGGAGACCTTAGAGCCCCTTCCAGTCCCTAAAAGGGGCTACAGGAGAGATGAGGAGGGAGGGGAATGGTAATAATAATAAGGGGGAATAATAATAAGGGGGAATGGTTTTAAACTGAAAGAGGGGAGATTTAGATTAGACACTAGAAAGAAATTCTTTGCTGTGAGGGTGGTGAGAGCCTGGCCCAGGTTGCCCAGAGAAGCTGTGGCTGCCCCATGCCTGGAGGGGTTCAAGGCCAGGCTGGATGGGGCTTGGAGCAACCTGCATCCACATAAAGAAAGAGAAATTAGAAGTTTATTTAACATGGTATAAAATATTTTCATTTGAGTGAAATTGAGGCTCCACTATTCACAAATATACTTCAGAATATTTTAGAATTAAATATTTCTTACATTGGAAACACCAATGGTAACCGAGTAAAAGCCCTTCTCATTGTCCAGATTCTGCATCCTCCAAACTTAGGCACATTGTGTGTTGGTTTCTCTTACTCTCCTTACTCACATGACAGTGAATCACTTCTTCTAAAATGATGAATCATTCTTTGATTTTACCTGTTATCTGTCCTTCTTTCTTCTTTTTCTATAACTTCAAAACACCCTGGGTGTGTTTCTGTCACTTCTTAATTTTCCTTTCCTCGATAGTCTATTTGTCTGCCACCTTCTACCTTCTCCACTATTCGGTTGTGAGTAACCACTCGTGAGATTCTTGCATGTCTCTGTCACTCTTCCTGAATTGTAATTAATAATATGGCAGTCATATTGCTTCTGGATAAAAACGTCTTGGGCAGCTTCCCAGGGACTATTTCTTAACATTTGAAATAAGTAATTAATTCACTGTTTGTGATGAGTTTATCCCCAATTTTGGGCATGCAATATGCTGAATAACTCTTTGCCTACGTAAAAAGCAACAGGTATTTGGTGCCAATTCGTAACGTCTTTCTCTAAAGCACCATTTCTTACATTAAAACTTGATGGATGTTCTCTTTGGCTCTAGTGATACAGATCATCTTGTATTGTTACACTGGGCAGTTTCTTCTGTATTTTTTAATTTTCTGCTATTGAAACATTGACCTTAAGTCTGGCGTTTTTCAGAATGAGATAGCATTTTTATATTACTTTTGTAATACCAACAGAATGAGATAGCATTTTTATATTACTTTTTTAATATTACTTTTGTCAATTAAAAGCTATATTGATAAATTCTATGTGTGAGTAAGGAGGAGAACAAGTTGGTTGAGAGGGAAATAGGCAATGTAAATATAGATAGAAAGCAGAAATTTAAATTTCAGAATGATATTTGCTTATTTTGAATGGAAATTTTGACGTCCCTGACTTTGAGCTTTGATGTTGGCAAATGTGTAACAAACTTTTCATTAGAAAGTATTGGGGAGCTTTAGAGACAGGAACGTGATGTTTAGAATGCAGTCATGCATCTTCTAATACTGAAAATAAGTAAAACCTTCTCATCATCTTCTATGATTCGTGATTCTGTGATTCGTGATTCTGTGATTATGAGGTATGTAGTATTTGCTTTATTGTACAGGGTAATTTTTGCAATCTTCTTTAAAAAATACCATAATATAATTCTATTCTAAAGGCTATTGTCCTTTTATTTTTCAACAAAAAGGTGTTTGAAGTAGGGCTGTGTTTTCATGCCAGAGCTGTTATCAGGAGTTGAAAATAAGTGAAAATAAGATTTTCCACAAATGATTTTCAAAAATATGTACAGACAGTGGGATAAAACTTGATGAAGTAAAT